AACCTTAACGTAACGTTAGCATTTAAACTAACAGTGAACATATGAACATGAAGTTATTTGGGAACATCTATGAATGTAAATATTGACCACAAAAGAGGTAACAATAAAAATTTAAACATGCAAGAAGCATCTTCTTAAACATACAAAAAAATAATAACCAACCGAGACTTATGCCAAGATTTAAAACTACGACATATCCAACAAACGTTATTTCAACAAGATTAAACATCGTCTAGACAAATTATTACATGTATTTAATATATTTTTTACCACCAAAAATGAGATGTTTTAACCAAATAAGGCTTCAAATATAATGTGCACAATAATTTTAAATTACGTTACGCTAATGAACTTGCCTTCTTTTTCCTTAAAAGTGGAAAAAATTTCAATTATATTGCTTAATATTTCGTCCAACAATTTTAACTCTACTTATGACCAAGTATCAATTTTCAAATTTTAAACTGATTGATTTACGATGAGTAATCCGGTTGTCTATGAGATAAAGTAGAGAATAATTAATAATAATAATAATAATGTAATATACCAGAGATAATGACTTTTATTAAACTGAAAAATTACAAAGTAAAACTTATTGCTAGTTTTTTTACTTAAGTTGTAATCAAACTTTCACTTTTATTATTTTTAAATATTTTCATCATACACTACTCAACTGAAAAATCGTTCATTGCTCCGTCTTACTCATTTCTTGCAGTGTAGAGTCTGCTAGTTGATGGTAGAATTAATGATAGATGGACGGAACATATTCTGGTAAACACAGAAGATCTTTCTTTTTTTCAGGGTTGATTTTTCTTTCATATAGATAGAGTGTGTCGAGCTCTAGGTTAGCAGCATCTTGAGAATTCCTTTTACTGAAGTTAACTTTAGTTAAAAGTACTTCTGGATTATTCGAATATTTAAAATACATGGAGATTGGATACATCCTTCTACACAGCATCCACTGCATTTTTAGCCACCCTACTTTAGACCTATCAACACATCTTCCGGTACGTAATATTACTTTCTAAGGCTTTTGTCGAAATGAAATCGTCTCGTTTTATCAGTACTACCTTGAATGGATTATTTTTCTCCGCTACTGGTATCACGGTGTTCCACTGCTCCGGAATGTACATTATTGAGAAATACCTCTTCTGCTTTTCTATCAAGCCTAAAGCTCGGTCACAAAATAGGAATGATAGCTCACCGTAAATTTGTGATCAATCTGTTCCACAGTGTTAACTAGATTTAATACAACGTACACACAAAGTTGCAATTTTTATATTGCGGTTCTGACCGCCACATTGCTCTGGGTATATTATTATTTTCTTTGTACGTACGTTATCTCTAATGAATTTTAATAAACCTAAACCTATTTCCTGTGGCTCTCTGGATGCAGTCGATTTGTCCCAAACGTACATAAAAATGCCATCGGTAGCAGCATTGTGAATCCCTATATGGAATATTCCAGTTGAAATTACCGGAGTTGGAAGAGTCTTCATCAGATGAAATATAATTACTGTGATGTCATTGTTTTCTTTTGCATACTGTATATTAATTTTCATATTATTCATGGCACTTTCTGCTTTTATTAAATGAATCTCCTTGGCAGTGGTAGGTTCGGCCTTCTTTGCTTTGAAATTATCACGTTTCTTACATGAATCTGTTATATGAGCATGTAACGATAAGTTCAACTTATCAGTGAATATTTTTTCAAAGATATATTTAGAGACACAAAATGAAGAGACTTCATTTTATTTCAGCTCAGGGGTTTTTTTCGGGACATGTTTACCTCGCTTGTGAATAGAAGGTGTATCACCAACTGATTTATTTTTCAAAACCCTTGTGAAGGGGTTCTATCCCATCTAATACTTGAAGGACATGTGTAAAAATGACTTGCAAACACCAGTTTGTTTTCTGTGTATATCTGGTAAATGATACAGTCTGGAAAATTCTACCGGCTTTGTTGTAACATCGATATCGTTTGCATTTGGTTTACATGTCTTGCTTTAATTACAACATTTACGAGTGAATACAAGTATGAGCTTTGCAAATTGTTTGATAATCGATAAAATTTGGAAAAAACAGTACTCTTTGTCTTTCAGGGTCGATCTTCCTGTGGCATTTTTCTTTACAGGGACATCGATATTGTGTATTTATCGTTTTAGCGCCTTTAGTGTTAGTGTATTCCTCACCTTTAGCTCGTTTGTTTTTTCTCACATTTTTTTCACGTATTTTCCTTGAGAATGCATTTAATTGTCGTCTTTGTGGAAACTGACGACTGGTCTTCTTCATTAGACAAATCTTCAAGAATGTGTTGCAAATAAATAGTATATACATAATCAAAACCTGAATCCTAATAGGGCTCCTTTGGGCTTGATCCAAGTATATCTCGTAATTCATTTTCGATGTTATCAGTAGTTTCAGCCCCACTGCCTCCATCATTTACAATTGCTACAGCTCCAGTAACATTTGCAGCAAACAAACACAAAAATAATTACTATTTATGTCAGAAGTAAGCTTTAAAAAAATTTAAACAGTACACCTTCTTTTTTAAGTTATGTTAACTTGACACAGGTTATAACAGTTGAATTGTTGGTTATATAACAAAGAAACTCACTTTTTACGTGACATACAGTGCCTTCCGCTTCTTCGTCCTCACTTTCATTCATCTTTTTATTGATTTTCACAACAACAATCACAGAAACACTTTTAAAAAATGAGAAACACGCAAACAACCTCTCAATAATAATCCCAATGACAGTTAAGCGTTACCAATGTCAGAGTAGCCCAAGTCACCTAAGTTTCTATGATTTTTAAAATGGAGTATACAATTACAATGCTAAAACAATACTTGTGTCGCAATCTGTTATTCTCGGAGAAAAGTAATCTTGTGCCACTGTGGAATTAAAAATATTATTATTTTACATATTTTTTTGTGATAAAGTCTAAATATGAAAAAATGTCACTTGTGCCACTCTGGTTCTGGCCTCGTAGATCTTATAAGAGTAATTTCAGTTCGGCTAATGGATTAAATCCGCAGTCAAAAGAAACCAACAGCCAACAGTACACAAGGTAACTATTAATTGAACTTTTATGATGAAAAAACGAATAACTTTTAAATCTAAGGTAGAGTACCTTTTAGTACTAGAATATCTGAAAATTTAATAATCTAGTATCACAAATGCTTAACATTTATAGTTGACGTTGACCTCTCCAAAACGGATGCTTGTGAACGGTACTAGGAATTCGCAATTAATGGAATCAATTTAACTCTGTAGGATAACTAATCGTACCAGTTTTCTATTTTTTTAATAGAAGTGTTGTGGAGTTATTAAAGAAACTACTTAGAAGCTGCCATCTTCAAAGAGCTCTAGCTCCATTATTAAGCATTTTCGGCGTGGGTGAATTGAGTTAAATCGTCTTAAAATTATCTGAGATATCATCGGTTTTTGTCTGTCAGGAGAGTTTATGGACGCCCTGTATAAGGTATTGGGTAACAAAATTGAAAACATTTTATAAAACCATTGTTTGTATTTCTCCTTTTAAAAGGGCTGTATTGAATTTTCTGATAAATTTGATTATCCTGGATTAAAAAAAAAGGTTTGTGCAACCAACCACAATTCAAAAATTTACCGAAAATAGATTCCCGAATTTCCTGAATCGCTAATTGCCTATTACGAAATGTGAAATGTAATATTAATACGGTCAGAAACTCTATTGGTTCAGTATAATAAAGGATGATATTTTGCATTCATTGTTACTCGAATATCATTAGTGTAATATCGTTAATTGCAAATGTAATATTAAACAATGCGAAAAACATTATTGGATCAATTATTGCTCATTAACGATATACGTGTTAAACCATTTAGAACAATATTCATGGTCTGAGCTTGAACATATTGCATTAGTGTATGTTTAAAATGTATATAACTCAAACACTTGCGTATGATTAATATAATTTAAAATATACATGGTGTTATATTAATATACAGTGGGAAACTAAAATATGACAGAGGTCTTTTGGGAATAGGTCTACTAGTACAAGAGATATACAAGAAATCCACGAGAAACTTTAAACGGGCTAGTAAAAAAAAGTAGTCCGAATTCAATTATTTGTGACCGGGCTCCCGGAAGCCTAAAGAAAATTATTTTTTGCTTCATTTTTGGGACGAGCTAGTGTCTAAAATAATAATATCTATACTATTATCTCTTAAAAATATTTTCACCTATATCTAAAAAAAATTTTACCGGCCTACAGGACTAGAAATATAAAAGATGGGTAAACGATGGACCGCAGAAGTGTGACGTCACAACTGTCACATCACATTGTCAGTATTACTTTTCAAACAAAAGTTGAAATATCCAATCTCAAGACTTTTTAATTTCTATAAAGTTAACATTTTGCTTCGTCTGCTGCTTTTTCTTGTAAGCATAGTGTTTTTTACGATAATACCATCATAATTCAGAGTTCTATTTCTATGAAATATAGTTTAAAAGTTTAAATTAAAGAAATTCTAACCTTACTTTATTGATACATGTATTTTATTGCTATTAGCATAAAACAATGTGCTTTATTTACACAACCTTGTAAAATTGTTGTAGTAACTATTAGAATACTTAAACATTGCAAAAAGTGGAAAAAATCTATAAAATAAATGAAAAAATAACTAAAAATACAAATTATCCACACTAAACAAGGTTTGTTTGAAAAGTGAAACTGACAGGTGTCAATAAAATCTACGTCATCACTCCTGTGGTCCATTCATATTTACAATTTCTTTGTGCTGTGAATAGTGCAGCTCTTCGCTAAGTCAATATTCGGCACAAAAGTTTCTATGCATTAAAATATTATGCAAATATTTAACATTATTTTGTATATTCAATAAACCCAGAACTTACCACAAGGAGGTAGCTGCACGGCGAGTAGCACACACCCACCCTCCTTTGCTAAAAATTAAATGAATAATATTATGTTTTACTTACTCACTTTTAGAAGCATATCATTGACATTTATTTTCAAATATCGGCAAATTCCTTCTGGCATCTAATTTTCCTCGAATGCAACCATCTCTACATTCTTCACCACACACTTTTATTGACGCATCTGTAACTATTTTTACACATTTCTCCACCGCTTGAGTATGGCAAGGAAAATAGCCAAAAATTGGAACTTGTTTCACCCTATTCCAGAACTCCTTGTCGGCCAAATGCTGTGTTAGAGGAGGTTCTGTTATAGTATTATTCATTTAGTCTATGATATCTATGTAATCTTCTGCAATGAAATTGATTTGAGGTACTTTAAAAATACGATTTTTAGCAGGTTTTTCTATATTTAAAAACTCTTTTGACATCATCCTCTCTAATATGTTGACGTGCGTCTATAAACATAGAAATTAGAATGTTTTGCGGGTGCGCAAAATAAGCGTTGTCTTGAATAACTTTATTGATAATCACTGATACATTATTCGGAAAATCTCTCGAGATCTGAACTAATTTCCATTTATGCCTGGCTCCATATTTCAATCTTGGCTGTGTTTTTATTTTAAACTACATACGAGAATATACTTTTATCATAAACTCAACTAAAATATTTAAGCTTTCACAAAGATCAGATGTAGCTACATAAACTCTGAGAATGCGGTTTGCTGTCGTTAACCAACGTGAGTGTGCCCTTTCCTGGACTTATGTCTGCCAAATTTGAGAACACATTCCATCTCCGATTGCTTTAGATAGTTTGTACAATTACTATTAATCTGCACTTAGACCATTTTCGTTTCCTGCAGGAAGGATTGCTTCTATGAGCTTAAATTTAACAACAGGCATTTTTTCGCAATGGACACGAAGTGATCCAATGGTCACAGAATATGAATAGGGACCTTTTGTGTGACTATCTAATTATTGAAACAAAAGTCGTATAGGAAGTTCATTGGCGTGCAATAGGAATACACTATATTGTAATGGTTTATTTGCTCGCGTTTCTATAATCCGAATGAACTTTTTAGCCCGTATTGGTATTTGTACCGTCACATCCTATAACACTTAATTTGCTTAAATCTATATTATGGCTTTGTAAGTAGTTTAGCTAAGCTAAGCTGAGCAACTATTTAGAATAGCTCGAGACAGAGACAGTTTCGCCATGTTAATCGCCAACGTTAAGGGGACTTGATAGGGCACGTTAAGAAAAAGAAGTAGTTTAAAATTCCTTCAGCAGTATTTATGGAATGAGACTGGCTAAGAGCTAAGTGCCCAAAATATAAACTAACTGGTTCTTCAATAAAGGATATATGCTCTTCAATTTCCACGATTGGCAACTAGCCCTGTAAAATACAAAATGTGGTTAATACTTACTAGATGTACATGTTTTAAGCCACTAAATACTTGGGTAAGAACCCGTTAAATGTTGTTAAATTGAATTTAAGTTAGATTATTTGATCTTTACCTTACTTGATTGCTTGACTTACTTGTCTGATAAAGTGTTTTTTATATAACTTTTATAAAGGATTTTTAAATAATTTTTTTTGAAATACAAGAAAGACATAACTCAAAAAAAAGAATACACGCCAAATATTGTGACATCTAATAAGTGGATGGAATATAATGAAGAATATAATAAACCTAATAAATAAAATCAAAAGAAATAAAGAAGTAGGTTCGGGAGCATAACAAAGAGATAACGGCACAAAAAAAGTAGAACAAATTGACGGGGAGAGAAAAAAAACTTAAAACGACAAAATGTAGAAAACACGATCTGGATTCAGGTTTGTTTTGGAGGAACAGGAAGACTTGGAAGAAAGTGGTAGAAGTGAAGACGATACTTATTTAATGGAAACAAACCAAAAATATATTGAAATGTTTGATACCGATGATTCCAAATTGGAAGACTGTGTGCTTGCCACAATTAAGCAACTGGGTAAATATTAACGACAACATATGAATATAAATTATAGATGTCGAATTCCACAGAAAATCTCCTTTTTTTTGGTGTCACAAACACTTTTTCAAATTTGAAGGCACACTCCTCAGACCAATTTTTTTTTCATTCCTTATAGCTTAAAAGTGAAGAAAAAAAATTGCCGTCCGCCGGACGGAGGGCACCCATCGCTTTTTAGCGATTTTTTAAAATTTCCTTATAGTAATTTTACCGTATTTTCACGAAATGCTTAAAATAGCTATGTTATCGCTTCAATAGCACCTATAGGGCTCTTTAAAAAAAAACAAAATAAAGGCATTTTCTTGTAATTTCAAGAAAAAAAAACATTTGTTTTAGTCTGAATAACAAGTTTATAAATTTTAAAACAGGTGACAGGTATATTATTTATAATTTTATATTTTTTTACGTAAGAGTTACACTTTTTGGTATATAATAGCACATTACTACTTAAAAAAAGTCTGTATTTTAATTTTAAGTAATAAAAGCAGAGATAATATTCGTTATTAAACATTTTTTGATAGACTCAAAGATGCAAAACAATAATTTCAAGATAAGTAGTCGCAATTTTGAGAAAATATCTAAAAAACAAATACAATAAACTATAATAAAAAAAAATAATTTTGTATTTGTTGATATACAATTTATTATTATAAATATCTTATGTATATTTCATATTCCCTTCGGAAGTAATATTACTTATTGTAGAATAATATAATTATAATTGTACCGTATATCAACAATTAAAAAGCTATTGTTATATATTATAGTTTACTGTATTTGAATTTTTAGATATTTTCTCAAAATTATGACTACTTACCTTCAAATTATTGTTTTGCAACTTTAAATCTATCCAAAAAAGTTTAATAAAGAATATTATATCTACTTTGATTACTTAAAATTAAAGTATAGACTTTTTTAAAGTAGTCACCTGCTATTAAATACCAAAAAGTGTAACTCTTACGTAAAAAAATGTAAAATTATAAATAAAATACCTGTAACCCGTTTAAAAATTTATAAACTTACCTAGACTAAATCTAATGTTTTTTCTTGAAATTACAAGAACAGACCTTTATTTTTATTTTTTAAAGTGTCCTATTGGTGCTATAGATTTTGATAAGTAAATTTTAAAAAATCGTTTAAAAAGCGATGGGTACTCTCCGTCAGGCGGACGGTATTCTTTTTGTATTCACTTTTAAGCTATAAGGAACGAAAAAAAATTGGTCTGACGAGTGTGCCTTCAAATTTGAAAAAGCGTTTTTTTGGAATCAAAAAAGGACGATTTTCTGTGGAATTATACAGATATCCTTTCATAAAAAGCGTATGAGATACAATGGTTTAAAAGTGCTAATGAAGGGAAAACTATTTTTTGTTTTAAAGAAAATGGCCTTTCAAATATAGATGAAGGCGACATTTTGAGAAAACTCCCCAAGCTCATTGTTCAGGAACATAAAATAAGATAAATACTATTTAACTGGGAATAAGCCACAATTAAAGATAAAAAAATACGTTTATTGACGTTTCAATCTCCACTTCGGAAATCGTTCTCAAAATACAAACAGTAAATTAAACAAATTATGTTTTTTGTTACATAGTGAAAAATTCTTCTAATAATTTAATTTTATCTGACTCATTTATATTGACAATTCAGACATACATTATGCATTTTAAAGTAGACGACTTTTAAATGATATTGCCAATATTGTTGAGTTGCGCTCCTGGGACGACTTTACTTATAAGATAGTTCATTCGATTACATGAAATCAACTTTGACTTGAGAATCCGTCAGAAAAAAATCATAGCATGTAATTCGTCTTTAAAAAGACAAACACATGACATGATGACAGTAAAATTCTCATTAAATGTTATGTTTTATGTTATTAAATCAAACATGAAGGCCATTAAATGTTAGAATAAGTGAACATCAATCTTATATTAAAAATAGAGAATTTGAGAGATCTCAAATATCTAAACACGCATGGAATAATGAACATAGGGTTCAATGGAATAAAAAGAAAAAGAAAAACAAACAAAAGAAAAACCAAAGAAGCGACTCTAATTATGCTAAATGAGGCCCATTGTGTCGCAAATTCCTCGGCAGAATGTACCAGGATCTGGTTACCAATATTGAAAGAGGAAGTTATTAATAAGAAAATACCAGTATTAGTAAGTCAGTAACATATAGAGGATACATCATTTATGTTTTTTAAATAACGGAAGATATAAAATCAGAATTTTGGTGTTTATTGAAGGTAAACTAAATGCACGAACAAATACTTACCATGTCGGGATAGTATTATGAGGTTTTTTTCCTGGTTTTTTCCTCATAATTTACTATGGAATGACTAACAGGAGAATTTTACTGTCATCATGTCATGTGTTTGTCTTTTTAAAGACGAATTACATGCTATGATTTTTTTCTGACGGATATTCTCAAGTTAAAGTTGATTTCATGTAATAGAATGAACTATCTTATAAGTAAAGTCGTCCCAGGAGCGCAACTCAACAATATTGGTAATATCATTTTAAAGTCGTCTACTTTAAAATGCATAATGCATAATTGTCAATATAAATGAGTCAGATAAAATTAAATTATTAGAAGAATTTTTCACTATGTAACAAAAAACAAAATTTGTTTAATTTAGTGTTTGTATTTTGAGAACGATTTCCGAAGTGGAAATTGAAACGTCAATAAACGTATTTTTTTATCTTTAATTGTGGCTTATTCCCAGTTAAATAGTAGTTAATTAAAAATCCCACAAGAAAATAGCTTCAGAACAATAAAATAAGATTTAATACCATTTTTACCAGAACAACTAAATATTTATTAACAAAAATAAAATCATAAACACTATTCACAAGCTTCTTAAATTCTTTCTATCTATTTGCTTTTAACCTATTCTGGTTTACCTATTTTTGTAGTTTAGTGCATATTTAAGCATATAAATATTAAACTCTAAGGACAAATATAGATACAATTAACAATTTTTTGATATTTGTATACTATCTGTATAAAAGTAAACATTTTCATTGTTCAAAGTAATAAACAATAAATTTGGTTTTGGGTCATCCGATCTCACGGAATTGCGTTGTAATCCTTTTTTTTTATGGGCATAAAGGAAGTAAAAGAGTACGAGCGGATGAATGGAAGGTTTGAATCAAAGTATAATTTTTCATTGTTAATTCTGAAAAGTAAATTCAAAACAAAAGGGTCTACAAGTATTTTCAACTTTAGAAAGGGCTTTACTGAAGCTCAGGAATCAATAAAAATATAATGAATGTTAAGTTTGTCATAAAAAATTTACATTTTACTTTGAG